AAATAAAATAAATTATTTATTAACATAATGTTAGTATCGAAGTTTATATGTTACATGACAAGTTTTTATGTCTATAACTCATCATAGAAGACACCGAAAAGAACAAGACTCCGACGTATAGGTAGAACTTCAATAGAGTTGGAAACATCGCTCATCTCAAGGACCAATGAAGAAGAGTTCTACAAGAAAATAAAGTTTATTACAAATGTACAACGTTTCGAAATATGTCATCTACAAAGTGGATTTCTCGTCATCAAATTCGTTCTACAAAAACTTTCCAATCCCACAATTTCTATATTTCCAAGATTCCAATAAAACAAAATCAGGAATTTTTCTTTTTTTTTTATTGATATGTAACAAATCACCACCTAGTGGCAGTCAAGTGTAACTAGATGATCCTGAGTTCAAGCTTAATCGTATTTTTAAGATAATATGTGCAAAGAATTTATGTACTTCAATTATTTTTTTTACAGTGGCAACCCTAATTTAAAGAAATGTAGATTTTATAACCAACAATTATATAAAGAATAGTATGTAGAATAAAAGAAAACAACAAAATCATACGGTATTTATGCTTGACGTTTTGAAAAGACTTTTCTATGATTTGTTTGTTCTTAAGCATAATGCTACATTATGGACTATTTGTGCTCTGCCTATTGAAAACCCGATTTTTAGTATCATAACCCCTCAAACTTACTGCTGAATCACGGTAGTCACGGAGGGGGGGGGGGCATTTTTAAAAAGACATCTTTTGTCATTAATACGAGTTTAACATATGAAGATGACATATTTCAGTTTAAACTAAGTGTAAGTATGCACTGCACGCTAACTCTATGTGATGATGACACTTGTGGTGAGACTGCTCGAAATATTTAGTATTCTAGTTGCTACATTTTTTTTAAAGTAAAAATTTATTTGTTTAAAAGAACATTGTTAGTTTTGCAACAAATTTTCTTCTGCTGCTTATGGGTTCTTTGATTATTTGCAACAATGTTTTGTGTTATTTATTGATTATCCGTGTCCTTGAAAAGCATTTTCTTTTGTTACTAGCTGATTATCCGTGTCTTTTGCAACATATTTTTATATGTTGCTTGTTGATAATCTTTGTTATTTCAACAAAGTTTCCTTTAATTGTTATTTGTCGTATATTTATGTTCTCGCAACATGATTTTATTTTGTTGCTAAATGTATATTCGTTTTCTCGCAACATATCTTCTCCTCTTGCTTGTTGTTTTGTGTTCTCAAAACAGATTTTCTTCTGTTGCTAATTATTTATCTGTATTTTCACAAAAGAGTTTCTCTTGTTGCTTGTTGTATCGTGTTCTCTCAATAGCTGTTCTTCTGTTGCTAGTTGTTTATTCGTGTTCTCGCAAATTATTTTATCCTGTTGCTTATTGTTTCGTGTTCTCAAAACAGATTTTCTTCTGTTGCTAGTTGTTCATTTGTGTTCTTACAAAAGATTTTCTCCTGTTTTTTGTGTTTCGTGTTTTCGCAACAGATTTTCTTCTGTTAATTCTTAGTTGTTTATTCGTGTTCTTACAAAAGATTTTCTCCTGTTTTTTGTGTTTCGTGTTTTCGCAGCAGATTTTCTTCTGTTAATTCTGAGTTGTTTATTCGAGATATAGCATAAGATTGTATTCTGTTGCTTGTAGACAGTATAACAAGTTGAATGTCAAAAATGTCTTAAATACAAAACTAAATATCTGTATTTTAACTTTTCTATTTCTTAAGTTTAAGACGAGAAATGTGTAAATTTTAATGACACAAATGTTGAAAGAAAATTAATGTTTAATGGTTCACAATTAATATTTAAAAATGACACTGTCCCCTAGTCTGAAAATACAATAAAACATTTACTCGATAATTTATTGCATCAAAATAAAAACCGTAGGAATTGGAATAATCCTATACACACGACATGTTTGGACGTCTTACTTCAGCATCATTTTTCCAGATTTACTCCGTATCAGGAAACGTTGGTTTTTCTTTTAACATCTTTTAATATTTTACAACATATAATACCTCGTGTTGTTAAGGTATACTTGATTACCATCTATTCGGAAACTAAAATTGTCTATCAAGATGGATGACGCGTTATTGAGTTTTAGTTTCAAGTAAGTTTAGTTTTTGTATTCTTTATTAGAACGAGTTAAAATTTAAGTAACGTTAAACTAGACGAAACTCCGTCGAAGGTAAATTCAGTGACTTGTCTCTTCATTTTTATATATGTGTATTTTAGAAGGTAAATACAGTGATTTATCTCTTCATTTTTATATGCGTGTATTTTAGAAGATAAATACAGTGATTTGTCTCTTCATTTATATATATATGTGTATATTAGAAGGTACATACAGTGATTTGTCTCTTCATTTATATATATATGTATATTAGTAGGTAAATACAGTGATTTGTCTCTTCATTTTTATATGTATGTATACTATATATATAAATGAAGAGACAAATCACTGTATTTACCTACTAATATACATATATATATAAATGAAGAGACAAATCACTGTATGTACCTTCTAATATACACATATATATATAAATGAAGAGACAAATCACTGTATTTACCTTCTATGTATTTTAGAA